AGAGAACCTGCTCCCCTTTTTTCTCAAGAAGGAAATTTTTTTTCGCTTTATCTGTTTTTAACCCAAAAAATGTAGTTGCTTGCTTGATTTTGAAGAAATTGGGCCCACTAAATTGGGACAACTTATAGATCTATGCGATTTCTGCTATTTCTTGAAGACAACCTGTCCCAGTGCAGCAATATTTAATGGAAGTCGTCAGTAAATAACTTTGAGAGAACTTGCTCCCCTTTTTTCTCAAGAAGGAAATTTGTTTTCACTTTATCTGCTTTTAACCAAAAAAACGTAGTTGCTTGCTTGATTTTGAAGAAATTGGGACCTCCTAATTGGGACAATTGAAAGATCTATGTGATTTCTGCTATTTCTTGAAGACAACCTGTGTCAGTGCAGCAATATTTAATGGAAGTCGTTGTCTTCTCCCTTTTGAATAGTTTCTTGGTTTGAACAGAGATGTTGCCTTCCACATCTTAGCCTGTGTGACCAATGTACAAAGGTAGGTTGGTAAATCTAAAAAGGGAATGGCTCAACCTTAAAATTATCTCAAGATGTTGTCAAATATTTGAAACATGTTTTCAATAATTTTTGTTCCAAAATCTTTCCCTGATAGCTTGTGTACAAATGCTCTCAGAAAAAATTGACAATGGCTATAAAAAGGTTTAAATTTCTTTTTGCATTAAAAAACTTTCTTATTTCTTAAGAAATAAATATATTTAAATAATGAGGTCCCTTTCAGAGATAAGTACGTCATCATGATAAAGAGATTCACAGTATGTGCTGTATGTATTATACACATTACACCCTATCGATTCATAATACATGTAGCAGATAATTCATTGAAAACTGACCTTCATGGTGAACGCGCAAACAGACGAGGAAATGGTCTGCTGGTTTTCAAAAATGATAATTAACTGGCTTTTGACAAACAAACAATTGTTTCTTTAACTTTAACTTCGTCTTCACTTGACTAAATCCTGGGGAAAAGAAAAGATTAAATATACATTTCGATGGACAAAAATTTGGATGCAAATACTCAGTTTAAAAATTGATAGGTGAGTCCCTCGTTCGTATTTTTTTTTCCTTTACAAAGGTTTCTTCAAAACAAAGCTCTCAAGATAATTCTTGAGATCGCCATCCGCAATCCTCTGTCTCCGAAGCTCTTGATCCTCTTGGTTGGAAGCCATTGCATCTCAGGTGACGTTTTCATCGTTTTTAACGATCTTCAAGTGTTTGAACGGTTTTATTCATTTTCATTTTGATAGAAGTAACACAAATACAACACGCGTTTCATAGACGATTTTCACCGAGCTCGTGTAAGAACAAACTTAGGGAAACAACGTTTTATGTATCAGTGCGTCATAGACTGGAACTCTATAAGTCAGGATATACTTGACACCTCCATGTTTTCTTATTTTAAATCTAAGCTCAAACATGCATTTTAAAGTTTTAATAAGTTTTTAAATTGTTTTTAATAGTTTTTGTACTGTAGTTTCTTTTCTTAATCTGGTTTCTTGCTCATTTACGTTGAGTATTTTTTTCTAATATGATTTAAGTTAACTGTAGTATATGAAGGGCCCCACTGAAGATCACCTTTTGGTGAAGTAGACTTCCTTCTTAAATAGTCATCATCATCATTATGACGCAGTTTATTGAACTTTAGCATACCAGGAAAAGAAAGTTTCATAGGGTGCACAACGTAACCTATGAAATTACACATCGTTGTACTTATAAAAAAGATAAAAACCTATTTGCTAGCATGGAAAATTATTTAAGATACGATTAATACTAATATACCATCGCTAATTTACAATCTATTATTATCTACATAACAACTAAGTCACGTTCTGTGAATAAGATTACTGTAAAACTTATAAAATAAATTCTCTAAATAAGTCGATTAATCTTCTAATATACGGAACCGTCAATATTTAAATTTCCTTCAATGTTTAAAACTATCCTTCGAATTAATATTCATACGCGGGAATAAACTTCATGTTTATATAATGTTCTTATAATATTCAACCTTTCAAAAGTTTCTTTTGTAGTTTTACTGTTCATGTTATGGTCTTAAAAGTTCTTGCAATGTTCAACGTACTTGACACTACAGACTTCTGCATGTTTCGTAGCACAGCTTTTGTTTTTTTTCCCAACAACTTCCGTAATCCCTCTTCCATAGTCCTTTACCAACCTCCAAGCACGTCCATGATAATATTGTGCTGCTGGACTGTATATCCAGGGTACTGTTCTTGTAACTCCCATCCTAGTGGACCATACTTTACTGACCTCCCTTCATCTTTCTTTCCTCTGTTCTCAATCCATGGACAACTCATCTCCAAGACTACTACTTCCTTACTTTTATGGTTCATTATCTTTGCCATTATTATTATTATTATCGTCATTATTATTATTATTATATTGTTATTATCATTATTATTGTTTGTCGGGGTATAACTATATTTTAATATTTCTGGCTCTTTAGAACTGCCAGATCAGATGACAAAAAGTAAATTTTGCTTAATTCAGTGAGTTTTTAGGGATTTACCTTTAAATAGAATGGTACACTAAAACAATTTTTTTCTTTGGAAGAGCTGCAGAGGACCAAGACTGGTGCAAATTGACATGGATTGAGGAATTCAAGTTTAATTGTTTAAGCAGAACATATCAAATATAAGAAAAATTTGAAATTTTGCGGGCTAAAAGCAAGCCGATGCAAACCGACAACCAATTTATCAAACCAAATCGATTGAGTGAAAATATCAACTTATCAGCAGTTTAGTAGAGTCACAGAACACAAAATGAAGTTCCTGTTTCAAAACTACGGAAACTGTAACTTCTCAAAGCATCAAATCGGCGAATCTGGAAAGTTTTTTCCTCCACAGCGACCGGCTGCCTCAGCAAATGAGCAAACGGTACTGGGGCAGTTAAGTTTTAATACCCACCTCAAGATCATGTATGTAATTTCGATTTTACTCTCTTTTCTTGTTCCATAAATTTCCTTTAGTCGATATTAGTATCTGGAGTAAATTACGATGATTGATGCCGAGGAATTGGATTTTAAAAGTTTTCCTGCAATCCTACTTTGAGTAAAATGGAAGCCTAACTGCTTAGTGCTGTCTATTATTCAAAACCTTAATTTTCCAAGCTCTTACAAATTTTAAAAAGCGGGGTAAGTTTCTAAAGAAACTATGGTGCTGCGTCAGTGGGGCCGAATGAAAGATCATTGAGTTATCAAAGTGTAAATTGACCACCGTAAGGATCAGGCGGTTCGACCGTTTGCCCTGCGTCAGAATGAATGACAAACTTTGTTGAGGAAACACAAAAACAATTTCACTTTTTTCTATTGTTACAGTGGCTCGTTGATCATGCCACGAAGGGAAAAAAAAAGTACTGGCACTGCTGAAATTTTCCTGGAATATGAGAAAAGCCAGTTAAGATTGTAGCTTCTTTTCTACGCATAGTTCATGGGTGGTTCGGAAATGCTTTCCTCGCCATGTAAATATGTTCTATTGTGTCCCTCCATCTTTGGAAATGATGTCGACTTTTTTTCTCCTTTCTTGAAAAATTTTTTCCGCTCATGGAAAGTGTCACTAAACAATTTCTCCACGGTCACGCGTTGGATGTGAGTTGGCCATAACCAATCCCATGTCCACCAAGTGCGGAAGGAACATTTATTCAGCAACGTTAACTGAGCCTGAGATGGCCGATTGTTTTGGTTTGTTTTTAAAGTTAAAACTATAGAGAAATCGCTAATCGAAGCATTTTAATTCCAGTGTAAATTTTTTGTTTGGTGGAGATGAGCACAGATAACGATAACGCCTCACTTATAATCCATCAAATATTTTGCCCGTGCAAAATTGGTCTAAATGCATCTCTTGATTGAAAATAGCCTTGGGCAGTATCCGAGGGTATAAAGCAAACCCTACGTCTCCTGCGATGAAAGCGTTCGTTTGAAATTGAATTCAAGATAAGAGAGCGTTTAGAAGAGATATGTTTGCTTGATGATAAAGTCGTAAGAGAGAACACTGAGAAGTAAACATTTCAATTTACCCTTCATACGCAACTAATAATTATCAAGCCTGTAAAAATAGAATCATAAGTTAATACAATTCTAGTATATCTAAAACTTTTCTTTAAAATTCACCTGCAAAAAGCGTTCATATCAGTTTATTATACCTCGTTTGGTTTTTCACGGCCCGCAAAGAAAATCTTTTGTTTACACTTGAAGCCTATGGCCTAATAGCGATTGATCATATCCGAGATGGCTGAGGTTTAGTAGCGCACGAAACTTATTTAACGCGTCCGAATTTATTTCTTAATATGGAGTTGTTTATCTTTTTAAAAAGATTACTCGATGCGTAATATGTAACTTTATCTCAATACTAATCGGAAATGCGTGACGAAAGTGCAGTTTTCTTACCGCAAACTCGACCATAGTTTTGAGAACCCCCCAAACTTAAATTTATAAAAAAGGATAAAAAGCGCAAAGTTATTATTAAAAGGGCTTTGCACGCTTCGCAAGTTCAATTTACGTTTAATTTAGTTTATTGTTATTCCTCAACACTTGAAAATATTATTACATTCAACCAACGAGTATTTTACTTCCTGAGCAGAGCAGAGCTAAACTCCTAAATTGTCGCCAATTGATGACTGAAATTTAACATTTAACAGCATTTGTTCTGTAAGACCTTAGTCTACCCTTGAGTTAATAAATTATTTGCCAGGGTAATGGGATTCATGCGAGAAAGCATTCAACCACCCTTTCCGCCCACTCTCTCTTGAGCTCATCTCCCAATCAACTCATACTGAGAGCCTCAACTTCGTTCCCAAAGTTTAACACGATGACAAGTGCCAACAAATATATTTAAAATAGAGGCCAAAGGGAAGAGCGCCAAGATCTGAGCACGATTAGTATCCTAATTAGCCGTCTTTAGGTAGGGAGCGAACATTCTAAGAAACAAACTTGCTGCTGACACCAACAAGCGGGCACCCAATAAAGGACATTCAACCTGTAGTACAAGAGCTTTATTTACATCGCGATAAATCGTCCAAAAGCTACGTACAATGAATGTGTCTGAACTTGTGGAGGTGGGTACGATTAATATCCTAGTCAGCCGTCTTTAGGTAGGGAGTGTCAGATTCTTCGCACATGTTGCACGCGGACCCACGTGAAATGACACGTGTTTTAGCGATTCATTATGTAATGTTTTGTTTGTACAGTGGACCTTTGATCTAATCGATTGACATTTGAAACTAATTGATCTACATTAACTTGATCAGTGCTTTTAGCGAGACAAGACATTCGTCGACATCGGTATCTAGGTTAGGTTGTACTGTAAATAGGCATAAACCAGATTAAATCAATTTCAATTACAGTATACGACTCGAAGTTTATTATAGGGAGGGAATATTCTAAGAAACAAACTGGCTACTGACACACGAGTGTACACCCAATAAAGGGATGGTGGTATAAGAGCTTTATATACATCGCGATGAATCATCCTAAAATTACGTGCAGTGAATGTGATTACACATTTGCCGGGGCGGGTTGAAAAGAGCAAAAAGCGTTCGCCGCTTCCGAACATTCAGTTCTGTTCAGGACATATTAAACGTGTAAGGGGTGACTGTTACCGTGTGAAACTAGCTTATTTGTAACAAGTGTCCAGCTTGAACATCATTTTCATAGCAGGTAACGGTTCTGAGTGGCTGTATAAATCTTTCTCCTTCATTGCCAGTAAGCTATGGAATAAGTTACCTAGGGAAGTCAGTATAGGAAAAGTGAAAACATCAAGGCTTTTAAAACAGCTTAGAATTGCTTTTTTAAGAGGCATGTTTTATAACCGGAGCTACCGATATTTAATTGACCATTATAATGGTTATAGTAGTTGGGGATCTCTTCAGTATTATATATTTCATAGATAAAACGGGTTAGAAGGGACGGTTAATTAATGATGAATCATACGTAGTAGTAGTTGGGGATTTCTTACTGCACATTTTCGGATTGGAAGAGACGGGTCATAAATCATAAATTGTAAAAGATTACGATTTTCATACTTTTTGTAATATGCTATAACATATTTTTTTAGTATTTAGCACGTGCACGTTTTTACGAACTTTGTCGTAAGCTGTTTTGTGTTCAAAGTGAATAAATAAATTTACGTATTTAAGTCTAGGTGTCTCATAAATAATTTAGGCTATATTGCATCAAGATGAAACGTCTTTACATGTTGGAAAGCAAAGCAGGAGGAAATACAAATAAAAAGCTACGTTTGAAAGCTACAGACTACTTCGCCATGAATGTTGTCAGTAATCTAAACATTTCGTTTTTTCCTGAAATGTAAACTTCCCTGCCAGATATCATTTAAAAGGCAGGAAATGATTGACTTCTCGAGAGATCGAAAGAGGAGAGCACTTTTCGCCACCTTAAGCGATAGCAAACAATAAATAGATTAAAAAAAAATACTGGCTTTTTGAAAATGGCGTGATTTTTCATTGATTGCCTGACTTTCTTTGCTTTCTTCGTCTTTCCACGTTCTTGACGAGCAGCTGCCATCCAGGTGTTTTAAGTAATTCTTCTATGCTGATCCTGTCGTCGTCTTCACCGGAGTCTGAATCCTTCCGTAAAACAAAGAATGCTGATGAACTTAATTTACTAACTTAGGATAATTAACCGCCTCCTGGTTAGCTCAATGGATAGAGCGCTGGACTGTTGTGCGGGAGGTCGAGGGTTCGAGCCCCGGCCGGACCAACACTCAGGGTCTTAAAATAATTGAGAAGAATTTGCTACCTTTCTATAATATCAAGAAATGGTTAGATATTCTAGTCTTCTCGGATAGGGAAGATAAATGGCGGTCCCGTCTCCTGCAGGGTTGGGGGTAGGACACGAGATTACTGTGTGATGGATGTCCTCCCCTGTGGTGGGATGGGTGGGATATTGGGCGCACTTAATTTGGAGCCTCGCTCTGTTGTGCGACCCTCACCACACTCTGGTGAAAGTATTTAAATAAATAAAATAAAATAAATGATTGCGCGAATAATTCTGTTTGCCGGCAGACACTGATTATTTCGACAATAAAGAGGAAACTGAAGTTCGATAGAATACGCACAGTCTTTTAAATAAACCTGACTCTTTCATTTATTGTCAAACTGGATTCAAATGAAAGACTAATGGCTCATCATGCCTTGTAAGTCTTGTAATATTTATTAGTTCTGACTGGATCATCCGTTTGATTTCACATTGCTTCAGTATCTCCATAGACTCTTATGAACGACATTCGTCCATCGACGATCATTTTCACGAATCACTCGCATTTTTCTTAGATATAACCGCTGGTTTACTGCTATAAAGATCATATGATTAAAGATCCAGCAACTTCACCTTTTTAAGAAAATTTTTCGTCACAACGGTTGTTCCTCGCATTTCCACGAAGATTTTGAGCGGGAAATTGGCGCGCGGCTAGCTTATATTGACCCAGTTGTGTCAATATAAGTTGTTGGGGAAGTTTCGCCTAGCGAAAAAGGGCAGTTTGGCGCGTGTCTTCAAATCTTGACCTTTATCACGAAATTGAAAAAAATGCGCTGGAACTATTAAAAACAGATGGCTATCTTTGGGAAAAATATGACCTTTCGACAAAATGGTGGCTGACGGACTGTACTCAAGTCAGCCTTTCTTGATCGGTTGTAGTTGAAAATAAGCCAGTCAGCTCTAACCCATATTTAGACAAAACCGCTGTGTAACAACAACTGTACGCAGGAAAAAAAATCCTAATTTACGAAACTTGTCATGATATCTGCGAAAATATGTTTGATACAAGATTTCAAGAGTAAATTTGTGACTCAATCGAAATGGAAAATTCGAATATGCTTTTTTAATCGCTAATAGTTTGCTGAATTTTGGCTAGAATTGAACAAAATAAAAGCAAAAGTCGAGGCCCAAATCATATTTCTACGAGACTATTATAAAAAACCAATACTCTTGTGCCCTCTATGTAACGTTTTAAAGACTTCTTTGTTTAACTCACCCAGTAATGATGGTCATCGGTAGCAAATACTTCATTTCGTTTGCAATTATTCTCATCATTCTCTGGCGGTCCACCCTCGATGAGGAATGAAAATTAAAAAGTTAATCATAAAGAATCAGCTAGACAATTGTTATCTAAATCATTATGGTACAGCTGCTTTCTCAAGAGGATCCTAAACTGCGATACTAAACTGCAATCATGAAGTGATTCTAGCTACCACTCTGAACGATAGATCGCAGAAAAGCGCTAAAATTTCCACTAGGTAGCAATTGCTTTGTTTTTCGAACTCGTCGACGCAACCAGGAGTTTGAGTCACAAAATATTCAAAGAGTCAAACATCCAACTTATCCGTGAGTTTTTTTAGTATCTAGGAGAATTGTCAACGGCAACAAAATCTCACTGAAATTAACAAATGGTAAACACCACAGCGTACACTATTGAGTTATGGATGCACGCAAGAGGTTGCTAACAAGAAAGAATAGTAAGGGCCGCGCGAGGCGTGAGCCGAGAGCGACTCTAATTTCCTAAGTGCTTAGCAAACCTCCTATGAGCATCCATAACTCAATAGTGTACGCTGTGATGTTTTCCATTTGTTTATAACATAACATTGATGCATTGTAGCAAGAGTTCCCTTTTGTTTTTTAAATCTTACGTGACCACAAAAGACAAGCGCGCGCGGAAAACTAGTGTTGCGATATTTTCTCAACCGACAGAAAGATAAAACTCCTACCAACTCAAATACTTTATTCAATGACATAATAACTTTACTACGGAGCGATACCAATAACCAATACAATGACTATCTTCTAATCTTAGAGCCCTCTATAAAACTATAACCCCACTGCACTACTGTACAACTCACAGTTTTCTTCAGAGATCCTTGTAGCTTATCGATGTCCACTAAACTATTCTCGACGTAGCCTTCCACACGGCTGATGATTCCAGTGACATTACATAATTCCACTGCAACGATTCTCTAAATCCGGCTCTGTAACAACGCTAGCTCCTCTGGGCTCTTCACGACAGCACTAACTCACTAAAAAAGGTCTGACTTTAAACGACCGCAACCCGCTATATATGTTTTACAAAATGTTCTAGATCATTCTAGGGATCTGTAATACAACTGTTTTTGGTATAATTACATTACTATTGCATCATAGCAATTTTTGCTGACTAAGGGTTCTGGAAAGTTCCATTAAGAGTTCTTAATGAGTCAGCATGATTAAGCGTTCCAGAAACTTCCTCAGTTCTATTTTTAGCAATTATGTAACACAACGCTTTCTAGAAAATACGGGCGCTCTCCATAACATTAGTATTTGCACTTGTTCACATCCGTCTTGAGATATTTAAAACTGAGTTCATAATCTGAACTTGATTGCAAACCTGCATTCGAGGTAGGGATCGTTCTCGAAAGTCTTACCTGGGAAGACAATTCGGGTTCCGACAAAGAACAAGATGGGAACGGTGAATGTTTTGAATTTAAGCTGGAGTCAGATTCTTCCTGTGCTTCCCATTTGTATCTTGTATCCACAAGAAGGTTAAACAATTCATCCTGAAATAAATGTTAAACGTTACAGTAGGCCTAACTGGACCTTAAAAAGCTTTGTCGCAATAAGGTCTTTGCCTAACACGGTGTGTCGTTTCGCTGAGCGAAAAGATACCGCAGCCGTACCGCGGTTAGGTGGATTGACAGCATATGAAATCGCCCTTTTGCGCGGGCACTTAAAAAGGAAATAACATCAATCTAGACGTTTCCTGAAAAGCTCTATAGTTATACACTGAAAACAAAAAGGTATGTGACATTTCATGAAACCTTAAAGTCGCAGTAATGTAAAAAAAAAAAACCTTGAGCAATAAGTTTATTCGCTCTAAATATCGATTATTAATGTGAGATAGTGGACTCGTGCTTCGCTCTCATCAACTATTACGAGATAAAAATCTCGAGCTTGTCATCTAATTTTTAAGTAAAGACGTCCAACAGAATGTTACCTGCAAGAATCTTTCGAATTAATTATTGATAACTAACAGGTACTTGTAAACACTTGGTTGATGATATTCGAAAATAGCCTTAGCTTTTTCGTCCCTGTGATAATAGTGAACAAGGCTTACATTTTCATTCGTTTTTGTAAAATACTCGTCTCAATCTTCTCAATTCAAAAAGCAACGAAAACAAATCCCATTTTCCTGCAATATCCACCTGCCATAGTAACTAAGTAAAAGAATCAGTAGTCACGGCATGACCACAGAACCAACATTTTTTTTTTGACTGTGAACCACTGTCTTCTTGTTATCACTCCAAAATGATTAGATCATGACAATGGGAAAAACACTTCACTCTACACATTTTCACGCATTTTGATCAAGCTTCAAGGTGCTTATATATTAATATCAATGAACTGGCTTTACATTTTTCTCTGCATCTGTTCGCTATCCAGATTCATTTTGGATGAATAGAAGCAAAGTAGATAAACTCACTATTACCTGATTACTAGGTGCTGAAGAAGGTGCGTTTTCCTGAACATCCTCTTTAGGCAGTGCAAAGTCCTTTCGGGAAGGAGGAGGGTAGTCGCACTTGCAAGCACCCGCCATATTTTGTCATCGAAAGTTTTTCGTTCTCTCACTGAGAGAGTGAATCGCTCTGGTGTTGCTTTGCCAACCTGTAGTTGGTCAAGGACCTCAAATCAGAATCAAAACGAAAATCAGTTCGGCCTCAAGCATTCTCGTTTAAATTAAGTTTGCCAATTTTAATTTTAAGTTCTCAATGACAACTAATTATATTTTCCTTCTTTTGATTGCATCGTTGTTCTGAGTATGATACTTAATTGGATGTCGTAAATCATTACGCGCTACTTGTTGCAATTAGCCATTAACATTTAAACAGATATTTAATTAACACTTACACCTGCTATATGTCATCGATAATGTACCAGTGAGATGCAAAATAATGAATTCCAACAGACAAAGATTGGACTAACGGTTTCCTCTGGTTTGACAAGACAAAGTTTTTCATGTGTTTCTTCACTCTTGTTGCACAAAGTGTTGGGGTGAAGCATTTTAGTAGTACAAACATAGTCCAACTATTCTAGCCTACTTTGGAAGACGGCAGGGGTTGCTAAACAATGAAAATTACTACAATATTCATGATGTTATCACCTAGCGCTGTAAAGTTTGCAAAACAAATAAAAGAGAGCTTTTTCTAGTAATCCAAATTGTTTAGCTTTTTACATAATGAACTATACGCTCATATTTACACCAGGGAAGGGTATGAGAAATCAGCTGTCGGTTTGCATCTCTTATACGAAGGCATTCGTTACAATCAGAATCGCTTTCGTTTCAACTGCGATTGCAATACACAACCTTTAAATTTTACACCACAGTTACGTTTTTAGCACAGTTCCTAACTTCTCTATGGGGGAAAAGACGCCAGAGGAGGAGTATATTAACGAATTTGCAAAATTAAGAACTGAAAAGTTTAAGAATAAGATGAGGAAAAATGTGTCTGAAGTATACGACGTTCTAAAGGAAGTGCATGAGGCATGCAAGGACAAAGAAAGTGGTTCGTTGCCAGACGAACTGAAGATATCATTGAGAGAGCATTTTAGAGACATGTTTTGGAGCTTAAAATTTCACCTGAAGTTTCATGGTGTGCTGGAAGAACAATTGAGGGAGATGGGTGATTGGGAATTAGTCTGTCTGTCAGCCGACGAAAGGGAAAAAAACCCAGACGAAAAAAATGTCATTGACCCAGGAAGCAAAATCTTACAAATCGTAAGTAAGCATTTGCAATTGCCGTCCAACATTTACACTAAGCACATATATCTTGGAGAAGAGGCTGATTGCCTTCATATTTAGAACGCAACGCCACGATATTTAAACCCAGCATCACCGCGCGAAAAGTTTACAAAACACTGGCACAACCAAATGTTTCGTACTGATGCAAGATTTCGAAAAGTACCTTAAAACTTTACCACGCTTACAACATTCTTTCAGGCATTGTGAATAAAGTCGATTTGCTGTGGATCATCTGGGTATAGTCATACGTTCCTTTATCACTGAAAATGTTGATTTTTCAAGTTTTCTATAAGAGAAAAAAAACCCTTGTTTCAAATCTGCTAGGCATATTATCGAATGTTTGCCACCAAAATTAGCTACTTGTAGTTCTGAGAAGAGCAACACGGTCAACAGGTATTTGATAAGGGTTCACCAAACAAGAAAACACAACAATCAAAATAGTTTATTTTCACCGTGCAATAATACTTTGACAAATCAAGTGCATTCCACTGAAGGATCTGAAAGCACCGCAATACCGCTTTGTGTGAGTAAATTCACCAGATACCGATTAAAATATGATCAACAACACAACCGATTGAAAACCCTGAAGTACGCCTCACATGTTGACCTCTGTCATTAAATATCTGCTCTCGATACTGATATGTGCAGAGTCAAGAAGAGAGGATCTGACCGCGTGCGGCTTTTCACCATCCTCCGGCCATCCAAGATCTAGATACAAACTCTATCAAAAAGGCATTTATTCAACCTCATTTATTTATCCTTTCATTTATTTTATTTGACTTTTATTTAGTGTAAAGGTTAAACCAAAGAAATTATTTAAGCTGAATGAATTGATGAACCTTGCTTTGGCTTCCTTTGTTTGACTATGTTCAAAACATCAAGCTGATGTGTTTTTGCGCTTCCTTTTCCACAAAATCTTATTCAAGTTAAGAAGGGTAAAGTTAAGTAAATGAACAACTGAGAGGTTCGAATAAGCGACGTTTCGAGTTGTCGAATATCAATCACACAATTTTTAACAGCCATGACCAAGGCCCTAAGTAAAGGCCACTTTTTAGGGAGCAAAGTACAAAATATAAGGTGGTCACGGCTGACTTTATGTTGTTTAGTATCACCAAGTTTTAAAAGCTCTCACATTGGCAGGCAAAGTTTACAATTATTATCGCTCTTACCTTGATTAGCCGGTTGAGGTCCCCTAAAACTAGGCTAATTTTAGCTTATGTTGAGTTTAATTTTTTTTCAGTTGAGCGACATAACTCATGGTGAGGACACCCCAAAAGGAAGTTCAAAACATGCCAAAGACGTATTGACAAAAGCAAAAGACATTTTAAGTTCTCTACCTAGAGTATTTAGAGCGAAGGCCTTAGCAGTGGTTTCACATCGTGGCAAGAGCTTTGTTGGCGCGTCTATTGCAGTAAGTCATATCTTACGACCTATCTATTTGCACAACAGAATTGCTAATTTCAAAAGTCCGAGGCTCAGAGAAGCAGTCATACTCCACCAGCCTTTAAAGACAGGAGATAAGCAAGGATGGGAGTCGGAAGCAATGGACACTAAGGGCAAACCCAAACCTGCGTGTACAAATTGCCGAAACACTTTCGAAGAGTTAGAAGGTTTCATACCTAAAACGGAAAATCAGGGAGATGACGGAAATCCCACATTTCTCGGGGCATGTGCCGAGTTTTATCCTGTTGACAAACTTCTATCATGTAATAGTAATCAAGTCGAAAATCTTCTTGGGCAGAATTTAAAGCAATGTTTAGATCTCTATGAGCAAATTGATGCAATAAGTAAACAGTGCGAAGACGCTGTTAATTCTAAAGACATCAAAATAATAAGAGAAGTGTACACTCAAATACGTCCTAAGGTTCACATTTTTGGTCGAAAACCAGAGTGTAACGATAAGTTTGGAAGTTCTGATTGATTGGTTGGGACCGTAACCTATAAAAGTATCGTTTTGTATCTATTTGCACAAAAGACTTGCTGATTTCAAAAAGCCAAGCCTCAGAGAAGCAGTCATGTTCCGCCAGCCATTAAAAACAGCAGATACGCAAGACTGGAGATTGGAAACAAAGATCGGTCGCACATAAACACGCGCATGTACAAATTCCCGAAGCACTTTCAGAAAGTGAGAAGGCTTCGCACCAGAGAATGAACAAGGAGATGACGAAAATAGATCATTCCTCCGGGCATGCGCAGAATACTGTTCTGTTGACAAACTTCTTCACGATGAGACAAATGATTGTCGAGAAATAGGTCTTCATATTCTGATGAGTTCGGAGCGATGTTTGAAACTCTGTGAATTTCGATGCAATTGGTAAACAGTGCCAAGAAGCCGATAGTTCTAAAGACACCCAACACATTTAAGAGGTGACAAGCAAATACATCCTATACTTGACACTTTTGGCCGATCACCAGAATACAATACCAAGTTCTAGGAATTGGATATAATATAAATGATCACTTAGTACGCCACCTACACAGTGGACTTGTTCATACTAAGCTAAATCGCTAAATTGTAATTAGCTGTAGAAGGTACACACGCTCTGCATGATTTTGCTAATTCTTTAAATATCATACCTAAAAATTAACTCAATCTGACGCCTATTCACTCGAGATATATTTCAGGAGAGTAAAATGCGAAGAGGGACTGGGGAAACTTTTAAAACAGTCTTAGTTTAGCTAGCCGGTGGAATTACCAGGCCCCGGTTGTTCGAAGGTCCCGAATGATACCGCACTTGTGTCCCTTTGAACTTCAGTCGTATAATAAATCTCTTATTAACCAAGCTTGCTCGGGACCGTACTGGAAGAATATCGGCCCTCGGTCTTTTTTCTACGTACCTCGCTGCGCTCGGTCCGTTCTGCCAAGACCTCGGGCCGATATTCTCCCAGTACGGCCCTCGCGCTCGGTTAATAAGATATATATAAAGACTAGCTTTGAAAACCGAGAGGGCCGGTTATTTAAGCAATCAGTAGGTCTCAGATGTTGCCCATCCGCTGTTTGCTTTCGGCCCTCTAAACACTTCGTAAAACTGATAAAATGTTCCAGGTTAATTGAGGATAGTTAAGGACGCAGCCAATATCTAGATATTGATGCGGCTGGTACAGCTCAGTTGAGAACAGTAAGAAAACTGCTCAAAATTATACATCACAATATCATTGTAACTCAAATCGGCACGAGTTAGTCTGAAGTGATACAACTCTTATTCATCAAAAACTGCCCATTAAATTTTCCTTTCAAAAGAGTTCCGTCCCTGATAAAAGAGTATTAAAAGTCAAAGTATATACTATCAATAAACTGACCCAACTACATAAATCTTGTTGAATTTCATGAAAAAACAAAGTTAACATTTGCAAGTCTTTTCCGCACTTTCATTTTGAACTTGAGTGAGGTTTGCGACCGCTCACAGCTTTCCACGCGACTCTCTGTACAATCTAAAAAATAATAAAGGGGTTTGGAGAGACATGATCAGAGACATGATCATCTAACACTGATCAGTATGTGTATTCGACTTCGTCATTCGCTCCGACAAAGGGCTAACGCTAAATTAGGTATCGCAGTTAAACAAATCTCTACGACAAAAGCAGTCTTTCAAAACCTTCACCTAAAGCTGAAAAGCTCCGTCAGAAAACCAGGGAAGATATGCAGTTCTTTTCATCGAGGGAAGAGGTAAATCAAGCTGGTGGGAACAGCACCCTAATCCCAATAACTTGCCTAAAATACCTTTTGATCTGGTGAAGGGAACAAATAGTACAGTATCCTATACCACACCCTCTTACACTTAAGAGGGACAACCTCCATCAAAGAGGCCATGTATATCAAATGAATAAAGGCTGATAGTTTCTAAAGAAACTGTTTTGGGCTGCGTCGGTGGGAGTAACGAAATAATTTGGATATATCAACAAAGTTGAAATGGTAAAATTGGTCACCGTAACGATTAGAAAAGCTGACGTTTCGAGCGTTAGCTCGTTAGTATATATCAAACTTGTTCTGGCAAAGTTTAGTGAAACCAGAGGTATGGTCTAAAATAGGATACAATTTACAGGGACGCCGTATCACTATAAGGCTAGTAAAGTTTTGTACTACCTTCTCCTTCGTCATTAGCACAAGGGATGAATGAAAACAGGCATCTTGTTAAATGTGAGAATCCAAACATTCCTGTTTGTTTCGAGTTAATTTCAAAAGGTTTTTCTCGCGATTATAAGTTATATATTAATTTGCTTTTGGTCAATGCTCTATAGCACTCTAATAGTCATTACTCAAATGTGAGACCCGGTCTCACTGTGGCCAACTTACCTTCTCGTAGTCACAAATCTTTCCCCCGTCATCCGACAGATGATCATTTACTATTCTTTGTACTTTCCCTCTCCCCTTTAAGCTCCAATAATTAAAAATGATGGTCAACTGTTGGTAAACACCTGAAAAGATGAACATGATGTGGGTACAGCAAGGAAAGTTGGACTGTCCTACCTGGATATGTTTAACAACTGTAGACGTGAAGCGAAACTCGTTGTGCCAGGTCACAAGCTATGCTCAACATCCATTTGAACTCCATTCCTGCTAAAGCCTTTCTTTGATTTTTTTATTATGATGACGATACCTACAACTTAACTTTTTCTGGTAATTCCGACACACAGAACTGTTGCCGAGATACCATCCTTGTTTACTTATTCCCGGTCAACTAGTCGACACTTTGTTCTTCGCTTTTACTTCTTTTTTTTGTGTACCTCAAAGACATCTGGTCTCTCAATTCCCTGAATTTCACCAGGTCATTCCTTCGTAACATACGATTGAGGTCTTTAGCCTTTTATCATCTATTAGAATAATTTAGTGAAACGCGACTGAGACAACGAAGACCAGTAAGGTGGAAAAACTCTTCGCCTCCTGACTCATAAAAGCTGAGAATAATTCCCTATAATCATAGCTTGACACGCATAGAATCAACGTTCTCAAGAATGTCTCACTTCCTTATTCCCGCAGAGCCATCGTAACTGCCTCGATGGCGATGCCTTTTCACTTCAAAATCTTGCTTCTATTTCCTGGGATTCCAAACCAGTTTTTGCGGAATTTTACACTCCACACATAATGCGCGTTTTAGGTCCTACTGGGGAAAAACTTAAGTTCATGGTCGCATGGGAGGAGAGCTTTGTTTCTAGTATCCCTGTCAGTTTTCACGGGTGGTCAAGTTTACATTAGTAATCTTTTCATTAAAGCTACTGAAAAGCATAATCACGATACGAGGTTCTCTTCTTTCGGCAATTTTTATATTAATCCATCGAGACTGAATCAAAGCCAGGGCTCTTTTGCTAGCTTCGGAGCTAAACTTTGGAACTCCATTTGCGATGCTCTTTGACAACTCCCGAAGAGAGCTTTCAAAAAACTCTTTTAGGACATGTTATTTTTGTTCCTAGAGGCTGAGGATTACCATGTTGAATCGCCCCTTCTATTTCAAATAATTACTAATTATAAGCTGGCTTTATAATTTATATTCTACATTGTAGTGTTACTATTTTCTTATGTTTAATGATGCAGTTTTATATACGAGTTTTAAGAGGCTGTCTTTTTGGTTTGTTGGATGATAAATAACTTATTGGACGTTTTGTTGTGTTGTATTGCTGAGTATATTTTTATTTGTTATTTGTATATTGACTTGCCCTACAGGCTCATCAAAATCTGGCACAACTCATAAAAATAATCAGCGATACTACAGAACAAAACGTCAGATAGTGCAAATGTATTTGTGATATTTAGTAAGACTGGCCCAGTTCAGGTCAGAGCTGGTTTAAACGAGGGCCTGTGTAAGCTATGACAAGGCCAGACCACAACACCGGGAGCTTCATTGCACACTTTATGTGATAAGTGTGTGGGGTTCTTTAACATCTTCTGACAACCAGTATGGTTTTTTGTCCTTATCTGAGGAGACTAGAATGTCTAACCATTTGCAGATGTCATAGCAAAGGCAGCACATTCACCTCAGTTATTTTAAGATTTGATTGGTAGCACACGAGCGCACCACCAATTCATGATCAAGTGTTGATCCCAAACTTTCATATTTTTCTACTAATCAGTACAGAGAAGATGCAGGAGATAAGGCCTATGGCTTTTCGTCCTTATTTGAGGAGACTAGAATATCTAAATATTTGTCATAGCAAAGGCAGCACATTATCCCAGGTCTGGTCTGGGGCTTGAACCCTTGACCTCCCGCACAGCTGTCCAACGCTCTACAATGTGAGCTAAGCAGGTAGCTAACATGCTGAATTCCTCAGGGCACAATCCTTGGTTCTCTTTACTCTTTACTATGAAGGACTTGCATAATTGTATCAGGCTCTTTATTTCTTCTAACAACAATCATGTTTGCAGACAATACACAGTTAACTTACAGTTAACCGGTTTTCTCTCTGCGCCCTACAGATTTTCATTTTGAGTTCTTTTCACAAATTACAGATTTTCAGTTGGTAAAATAAAGGATTTTCTTTTGATAAAATACGGATTGGTATATTGCAAATTACAGATTTTCATTTTGCAAATCAAAGATTTTCATTTTGCAAATTAAAGATTTTTATTTTGTAATTAAGTTAGAGATTTGTATTACATTTCACAAATTATGGCAAACCGTTAACTATGCCAATTAATTAATATGATAATATCACCCCTTTTTTATCACGTATTATAGGTCTTTACCGGAAATTCAGGAAAAACGGACACTAGGAAGAACAGTCTTAAAGAATTTGCAAGTGCAAAGTTTATCCACTTTCTGCCTACAAGTTATCATAATTTCAAGGTTCTGAGAGTGGAAGCTTATGGAATTCTTTTGAGTAAAGGTAATGATTTGTTCTCATTTCTGTCCCTCTGATACAAAATGAAGTTCTGATAGCTAATTATTTGGGAAGGACAAGATAGGGCAATTTTACAGAATTGAGGCAAATTTAAATATTCGATCCCATACTTATTGTACTTTTGTTGAATGAGAATGATTTAAAGGAGGCCCTATGTATTTTAGAGCAGCATGAGCATCATAGAATTGAACATTCAACACCAACAAGACTAAGGAGTGTCAAAATGTTTGAGTGGTTGTCTGTAAGATTGGATTGCTGGCTTTTTGAGTTTTTATGTTGATTTTCTTTATCCTTTTTTTTTTTGTCTGTTGATTAATAATTGAGAAAATCATGAAACCTCTTTTGGAAAGGAGATGTTTTGAGAGAAGAGGTAACTGAAGGTGGTTAAATATTGCATATTTTTGGCTTTTGGTAGAGTGTAGCAAACTGTCTAATCTTCATTCTACAGATGTTAGGCAGAAGGAGAGCTGAGGCTCTAGTGTCATAATCATGAATGCAACTATTTCTCTGAAATAAATATGGGAAAGGTAAATTAGAGTGATGAATGATGGTGATAAGAAAACAAATTTTACAATACATAGAGAATTAATCTTAAAGACATCTGAGATTTTTAGTTGTGTAATACAGGGAGGGACACAGAAGGAGAGTGGTGCTCAGAATTTGTTGTGGTTCCCATAGCTCATCTGGTTTTTGGAAAACAAAGATACAGTTTAAGTTTTATATGTGGAGGATCAAACTATTGAACAAAAGTAGACGCATTTTATTAAAAATGAACTTCTTGTACTCTCAAATGAAGGGTTGTCAGCAAAAGGTTTAATAGGTTTGGAAAATTAAGGTATCATTGTTAAATTTCACATCAGATGTTGTTTATTTCAGTTCCGTCACGTCCTCCTACCGCCTTCAACTTGACTGCAAGCTCTTCTACCAGCATCACAGCTTCCTGGCAGTTACCTCCAGTCTTTGCCAGACATGGAACCATCATAGGGTTTAAACTCTTCTACAAGAAGAAAGGTTCTGATAAGCCAGCAAGAAACTTGACTATTAGAGGGGAATTAACATTGAGTAAAAATGTCACTGGTCTTGATGAGTACACAGAATATGAATTTCAAGTCCTGGCTTATTCATCTGATGGTGATGGGCCAAATAGTTCTGTTGAGGTAGAAAGAACAATGGAAGATGGTATGTGACAGATCAAGGTTACAGTTTAAAATAAATAGCAGAAATTTCAGGCCTTTATTGCCACCTAAAGCAAAAATTTCTCCCCCAAAAATGTATTTTAAATTTCCATGCAGTATGATTTCTACTATCCTAGTTAATGCATGTGGTGTTAGTCTTGAGGTAAGTGAGGAAATGCTGGGCTGTTAACTGTTGAATGCAGGTCTCAAATGAAATGGTAAAACTAATTTTTCCAATTGCAGTTCCATCACAAGCTCCTAGCAATTTCACTGTGACTGCAAGTACATCTTCAATTGTTACAACCTACTGGCAGTTACCACCAGTAGACTCCAGAAATGGATTAATCATAGGATTTAAATTGTTCTACAAAAATAAAACTGTACTAGGTTCAGCAACCATGTTGCCGATAATTGATGGAGCTACTCATCACAAAATGGTCACTGGCCTAGACAAGCACACAGAATATGAATTCCAAGTGTTGGCCTACACTTCAGTTGGTGATGGACCAAAGAGTTCTCCTGTAATGGTGAGAACCATGAAAGATGGTAAGAACCTTCAAAATATGTGCAACTGTTATGCATTAAGTTTGGTCCTCTCAAAGTTAAAAATCTATTGACCTGATCAATTGAAAAATCATTGTAACACAACTTTGGAGATTAACTTAAAATTTAAAGGTTGTTAAATTTTACATGAAGGTGAATCAAGCTGGCTCTTCTCTGTTTCAGAGTCTGTAAGTTTGATTGAACACCTACTTTGCTTTTAATTATTAAGTGTTCTTTTTTTTCTTGTGGCAAATTGATATTTGTTTGAAAACTCACTGAATGGGCTTCTTCCTGATGCTGCACATGAAATGGGAAGATTATTGTGTTTTAGATAAACTTGGTTCAAAGGCTGAGATGTCCATTGTCTGCATAATGTCACTCTTGAAGTTGTTAAATGATTAGAGTTTCTACCTTAATTGAATAAATTATGTGCAGTGTGGCACAGCAGTCTGGCTGTGGGAGCTTGGACTGCTAGAGGTTGTGAGGTCAAATGTAAATGTGTAAAAAAAATCTAAAGGAAAAGACAGTGTTCGCTTTTGTGATTGTTGTGTTTAAAAGATTGTCTGGAGTATATTAATCATCAACAAATTTGTCCAGCTTGTCCATCAATTTCAAACTCAAAATATGCTAGCCTTTGTCTAGCCCTATGTTGTCAGGGGTGTCAAAGCATTGCAAACCAATCGCTGGAAAAACAATGACGACCATCCCTTACAATTGAATCAAGGAGGAATAACTTCGACGTCTTTTCCCAACAATCATAGCTTAAATGTGGCTTGTTTGTGTTTTGATGTTAGGTTCAGGTCAATCACAATCATACTGGAGGCTACTTTCATCGAGCAGCATTGAATTGGTTTAACAGAGAGAACTTCAAACTTAAAATCATATGCTGTTGACCATGTAGAAACTATCAATGAATAAAAAACATTGCTGCTGAAATAAATCACTTTGTGAATAAAAGTTTTTTGGACTTGGGGCATGTGTCTGCCAATGCTTTCTATATAATTTTTATATACTGGCAAGTGGATTTAGAAAGAAGGTGACAGGAATTGTAAGAAGGAAAGAAAGAGGGAAGGAGTGCTGTGTTCCATCCATACCTGTAACTCAGGGCCTGATTACATCAGCCGAGCTGGCCCGGTTAGCCAGGCTGATTTCTTTTGTTTTCACGCTTTGGCGAACACCAAAACAAAAGAAATCAGCCCAGCTAACAGGGCCAGCCCGGCTCATGTAATCAGGCCCTCAGACTGGTAACTGTAATTGAAAGGAAAACAAAACTTACTACACTAGGCTGCAACTTACATCTGATTCTGTCTTCAAAGGCTTAAAGAAACTCCAATGTTACATTTCAATGAATTAGCGAAACTTCAGGAGAAACTCTGATCTAAGTCGATCAATCTCCCAACTCCAACTGACCTTGGTACTTAAGGGGCCTTTTCCATTAAGGGTACAATTCATGTGCATGATTGGTTTAAACAGAAATGGCCACACTGTAGGTACAGAAGTGATTCAAACTGTGAACATTATCTAAAAATAGGGATGTAAACTCGTTAATGAAACAAAATAGAAGTATATCTACTTATCATGTAAAATCAAATAAAGGAATTTACGTAATGAAGTCTTTTTTATGTTCATTACAATTAAAGTTTTAATGTTCCAGGAAAGTTCTAAAAGCCTACTGTTGTGATGATCACAGTATATGGCCACATGCACACTTTATTAAATTGTCATTTACCTGAATCGTGACTACATTGCTGAGATGAAACTGCGAGAGTTTTATCCTCTTATGCCATCCGCCTGGACATAAAATGACAATATTGGGTATATAGTTGTGATTGATGTTTTACATTTTATCTTTGTGTAGGAGGTTGTGTTGAGTTTTATCTTGGTATGGAAAATAGAACAATTCCAGACAATAAAGTCGCTGCTTCTTCTGAACAAAGTGCCAATACACCATCCAAGAACGGTCGACTGCACTACACATCAGGATCATCATGGTGTGCAAGAGCAAGTGAACGGAACCCATATCTACAGATTGACCTACGGGCACTTCACATTATTTGTGCTGTGTCAACTCAAGGGAATTCTAAGGCAGATCAGTGGGTGAAGACTTACAAACTACAACTATCCACAGATGGAACAACATGGACTGACTATAAGGAACTTGGACAGGTTAAGGTATGCTACATGGACTGCTCGAGAATTATATCATACTTAATGCCTTATATATAATCACTGTACCTGAGTTTGATAATAGTGATGCGCCGATTTTAAATGGCCACCAGAGGAGAATTTTGTGTTGGCGAGTGGAGGATTATTTGGCCAATTAAACTTAAACAAGTATTCTACTCAGGCTCAGCAAATTTCAAGAATTTTTTGGAAATAATTAACAATAAATTTTATTGTTTAGCCAATGATATTTTGCATGTCTGAATTCGCAGTCGAAGCTGGAAAGACCACCAGGGAGAAGTGGACAGGGAATGTAACAAAGTTGTGAACTACTTTATTCCTTCAAACATATACTATATCAAATGCTTATAGAATAATGATTTCTAAATACTGAGAGATTGTTGCTCTCAATCCAACAAGTTATTAAAAGGTTGTCATAGCTAAACTGCATTTGAAGAAACTGCAGGTAAAAGGAGCCTGAAGAAAGATTTACAGGCCCTAACTTACTTTTCAGGTCTAGATACAGTTCACATTTGAGCGTGAGTGTGTTACACTGTGTTTGTTATATTAAACCACTGGTAAAAATGTGATTTATCCATTTCTTTATAGTACTGTTATAACCCGACCGTAGATATGGTTCTCTTCCAAAAAATGTTGGGCCAAACTCCTACCTGTATTTTTCTGTTTGTTTTAAAATTAAATAGACCACCCAGTGCAACCATTGTCATATCAATAAAAGGATTAATTGCCTCCCAGTTAGCTCAATTGGTATAGCGCCGGACTGTTGGGCAGGAGGTCGAGAGTTCAAATCCAGCCGGACCAACACTCAGGGTCTTTAAATAACTGCATGAGTAGAAAGTGCTGCCTTTGTAATATAGCTGCAAACAGTTAGACTTTCTATTCTTCTTGCAAGGGACGATAAATGGAGATCTCATCTCACAAGCCCCTATATGTGATTTAAATTTGCGGGATGTTAAAGAACCCACACAATCCTCAAAAAGAGTATCGGGCACGTAGTGCCCGGTGTTTTGGTCTATATTTGTGCAGTGTCTATCCAGGGTGAATTGGGGGGAGGGGTGGTGCCTCGCATGGACCTTGTGTTCCGTGCGCACTAACCTTTTCGGGTCTAGTCACACCTGGTAAAGTCGTTAAAACAAAACAAGGATTCTTTTGAAAAAACAAGCAGTAAGGTAATGATAATTACTTAGAGAGTTACGTGTACGATAGCAACATTGTGCAATCTACCTGGAACTCTCTGAGTTGTGATTGTTTTTTATTTTCCTAAGGTTTTAGAGGGAAATAAGGATAGAAACTCAGCTGTTAAACATGTTCTATATGGAGTGTTAACAAGATATGTGCGATTCCTGCCACAAACGCATCAGGGTGGGGTGTGCTTGAGAACGGAGGTGTTTGGGGTGAAACAGAAGCCAAGTAAGGTTAAAAACTTTGCACAATCTTTCACATTTTCTTAACATCATCCTAAAACATTTCAGAGTTATCTAAGGCATTTTATTAATCGTTGATCAAAGGATCCAAACCTAGTGGTTATTTCATTATTTTATTATGGATTGAACACTCAGGCCAAAAAAGGCAAGCCACCCTTGATGAGCTGAAAATTCCGTACTCTTCATAATACTGTCATCAATTAGAAAATTCCAGATTACAGGATGCACCACAGGTGGCCCAAGCATACTGTGTGTGATTTGGGGTTGAAAGGTCATTAAGGTCATTAACGGAAATACCAAACAGATT